ACACACACACACACACACACACACACACACACACGCACACACGCACACACGGGAAGTAATGTCACCACCACCACATGCTCTTTGTTTCTAAGAAGGATCCTTTTGGTATTAGGTCTAAGACTGAAGGTCTTATGGATATAGAAAGAATATAAAATGGGCTATTCACCTTTTCTGGTACTCTATTTTTCACACAGGGATCAAATTCTGTTTGTATATGGGACTGATGATTGAACCTAGGGCTTTTGAACTGAACTACACATTCTAAGCCCTTTATTTATTTACGTTTTTTGGTATCAGGGATCGAACTCGGGTCCTTGCACTTGCACAGCAGGTGGTGAAACCACTGAGCTAAATTCCCGGCCCTTATTTTTTATTTTGAGGCAGGGTCTTGCTAAAAATATGGTGGCCTTGAATACTTCCTCCTATATTTTCTTTTAGAGTTCTTACATTTCAGTCTGATCCATTTCAAGTTACTTTTTTTTTTTTTTTTGTGCTGGGGATCGAACTCGGGACCTTACGCTTGCAAGGCAGGCGCCAGAACCACTGAGCTAAATCCCCGGGCCTCAAATTACTTTTCATGTATGGTAGGAAGTAGTGGTCCAATGTTGTTCTTTCACATGTGGAGAACCAGTTCTAGGATCATTTGTTGAAAAGACTGTTCTTGCTGGGGGTCGTGATGCATGCCTATAATCCCAGCACTTGGGAGGCTGAGGCAGGAGGGTTGAGGCCAGCCTGGGCCACGTAGCGAGTTTAAGGCCAGCCTGAACTACATAGTGAGACCCTGGCTCAAAACAATCAAAACAAATGCCCTAAAGTGCTTCCTTTTAGTTAAAAGATGAAAGTACATCTAGATATTTTGAAAGACAGATTATTACAGTATATTGTTACAATTTTTCTATTTTATTATTAGCTTATTGCTAACCTTTTATTGTGCCTAGTGTATAAGATGAGCTTTATCTTAAGTCTGTATATATAGGAAAAACATAGTATATTCAGGGTTCAGTACTATCTGCAGTTCCAGTAATCCACTGGATAAGGGTGCGGCTGTAATTTGTGTCCCCTAGAATTCATGTGTTGGACACTTAACACCTAATGTGACAGTGGTGAAGTGAGACCCTTAATAGGTGAGTGGGTCATGAAGGGCTTGTCCTCATGAGTATGTTAGTGCTGTTAGTGCTGCAGTGGGTTAGGTGTTGTGGGGGTGGGGTCCTGATAAATGGATGATTTTTTTGTTTGTTTGTGGTAGTGGGGATTGAACCCAGGGTCTTTGCACTGAGCTACATCCCTAGCACTTTAAAAATATTTTGCTTTGAGACAAGGTCTTACCACGTCACTGAGTTGCTTAGGCTGGGCTTGAATTTGTGATTCTCATGGTTCAGCTCCCAAAGTGCTAGAATTACCAGTGTGCGCCACCATGACTTGCTTAAATGGGTGATTTTTGACGCCTTTTCTTTCTGTTGCACATGCGCTGTCTTCCTGTTCTGCCTTCTACTGTGGGATGCCAGCAAGACAGACTTCTCCAGATGCAGGCCCTTCTAGCCTCCAGAACTGTCAGGAATAAATTTCTGTTGATTGTAAATTACCCACTCTGTGGTATTGTTTCTAGCAGCACAAAATTGACAAAGATATATTCATAAGTAAATGTCAGACAATCCAAATCAAGGGAAATTCAATAAAATAACTGATCTGAAATTTCAAGGCACAAAAGATAAATAAAAGAGGAGATTAAAAGAGACTAAAGAGGCTGGGGATTTAGCTCAGTGGTTCCACCGCCTGCCTCGAAAAGCACAAGGTCCCAAGTTCGATCATCAGTACAAAAAAAAAAAGAGACTAAAGAAACAGTCTGACAAACTACAAGTTGCCCCTACCTGGGCAACTTAGACTCAGTCTCAAAAACTAAATTTAAAAAGGGCCAATCTTACTTCGTCTTTATCATTCCAACTTCCTCCTCAGTCCCTTGCAGTCTGTCCCCAGAATCATTAGTATTTGTCTCTAACAGTACGAGCTCTTTTTTTTTTTTTGTACCAGGGATCGAATTCAGAACCTTGTGCTCGCCAGGCAGGCATGGTGCCACTGAGCTACAACCCTGGCCCCTATTACAAGCTCTTTAAAAAAAAAAAGCACTGTACTGGCATTACCATTATCACACCTGAGAAAAAATGATATTTTTAAGTGTTGATTTTAGCTAGCCCTGGTGGCACCTGTTGTAATCCCAGCTACTTGAGAGGCTGAAAAAGAATCTTAAGTTCAAGACCAGCCTGAGAAACTGAGACTCTGTTTTAAAGAAAAAAAAGGAGTGGAGCTGGGGGTGAGGGATGTAGCGTCGTGGTAGAATGCTTGCCCAGCCTGTGTGAGGCCCTGTGTCCAACCACCAAAACGAGAGGGGAAAAAGTGTAGATTTTAGTATTGAGAAATTTAACAAGAAAAGGAGAATTTGACTGCAAGAATGACATGTTTTGATTTGTTTAAAAACTCTTCTCAGGTGTTGTTTAAAATACACTGTAAGGGCCAGGGATTTAACTCAGTGGTGCCGCCGCCTGCCTCAAAAGCACAAGGTCCCGAGGTCGATCCCTGGTACCAAAAAGAAAAATACACTGTAATTGTAAGCATAATTTTCATTCTGTCATGTTTTTCAGCTTTGATAACATAATTAATTTTTTTTTGGTACCAGGGATCGAATTCGTGACCTTGCACTTGTGAGGCAGGCGCTGGAACCACAGAGCTAAATCCCCGGTCCTCATAATTTAGTTTTTAAAAGAAACAGAATATTTCTGCTTGAAATTTTAGGGTGCTGCAGATGATGCCCTCCTCCAGTCACAAGATGATCCCAGAGTGTGCTGTTCAAATCTTTTGCCGTCGGCAGGAAGCACTAGGGAAGTTAATCACAGGAATAATTACAGTGGGAGACATTGTTTTGAATCATCTGCAATGGCAGTGTTAGATCCACCTCACACAGGTAAGAATGTGCCTTTTTTAAATCAGGTTTATACTTGACCTTAAATGATTATTCAAGAATGCATATGTTGGGCCGGGGATTTAGCTCAGTGGTTCTGGCACCTGCCTTGCAAGCACAAGGTCCCAAGTTCGATCCCCGATACCAAAAAAAAAAAAAAAGAATGCATATGTTGTATTTAATAATTGTTAATGCAGTATCTAGATTGTTGGCAATTCAGATATTTTGTTGCCATAATTTATTTAGTGATTGGATTAACAACCATGTAGTAATTGAAATTTTGCACTTATTATAAATGTATTGGACAAATGTGGTCTTTTCTTTAGTATCAAAATTAAATGCATTTAAAATTTTGATTGAAGAGCCGGGCAGGGTTGCACACACCTGTGATCACAGCACTGGGGAAGCTGAGGCAGGAGGATCACAGCAAGTTCAAGGCCAGCCTGGGCTACATAGTGAGTTCAAGGCCAGCCTGAACTATGCATTAAGACCCTGTCTGGAAAAAACCCACAAAAACCCAAAAAGCAAGTAGATTTAAAAATTTTGTGATAAACATGCTAATACTCAAATTTGATACTGTATTCTGAACCAACAGTCATTGCATAGTACTATATTTTGAAGAACCGGGATTCATACTTTTATGAATGAAGGAAAGAAAATGGGAATGGTGCTATTTACTGTTATCTACAGAAACATACTATCAAAAAAAAATACTAGTCAAACTTGAATAAATTGTTAATTTATTGTAGTCTACAGTAACTTAAAATTAGTAAGAATTGAATTGTTAAGCCATATAATTGCAAGAAAACCAAGCATTTAACATATATTCCCTTCAAGACTGAATTGAGTTAAAATAACGATTATGATTCTTTTTGTGTCTGTAAGAGATGATTTTTCAGGTAACTATAAAATATAATTAGGTGGTTCACAGATACTTATTTGGCTTCATGAAAGGCGTTATTAAGACTATGGTTTTCCAGATTGTACTTTATTCAGTTTTTGGTTGAACCGCAGATTCTGGGAGCCAGCCCTGACTGCTGGGCTGTGGACCGGTAACGTCTGTCCTTATGATACTAGTGCAGATCAGCAGAGTGCCTTAAGCCCTTAACCCTTTTCAAGGAGGTTCTTGAACTTTGTGATGATTAATGAACTTTGCCTATAAGTGGCTTCATTTCTTGTTGGGGCAGAGAAGAATTGTATTTTCCTGATTGGCCATTATCCTAATGCCACTTATGTGCTTCCTGTGACTTTTCGAAAGATTTAACTAGTGTCTGGATGAATCTGAGAAAGCCTTTTGGAGCTGCTATCAATTTGGGGAGATGCCCAGTTCTGAGCTTGTCATTTCAGCTTCTGCCCTATCTCACTGATTTGTTCTCCTTTTTTTCTTCTTTCCCTTTCTAATTTTTTTTTTCCCTTTCATCCTTGTTTGGTAACTATTCTGCCCTCCCACCCTCCTGTTTTCTTTACTGTCAACCCTGAGGCAGTCCACGTGTGCCCCCCCCATCATAGTAGCTTATCTTTTTGCCAGTGAATGATACTTAAAGTTGGTAATATAATATATTATGTGTTTATGATTTGGGACTTAATTGTGTTTTACAGTAGTTTCTTATTCTCTTCCTTGCTAAATATGAGAAGGAAGTTAAGAGTTAAGATAAATTAAAGAGAGAATTAATTTACTCAACCCTTAATCCCTTAATCCCTTCTTTGATTTAACATTCACTGGACTCGGGAACCTGCACTAACTTCCTGATATTCTCCTGCCTCTCATTCAAAGAGAGGTTAAATTGCAGAAAGAGCTTTGTGAGAAACATTTTGTTCTTTATGGTAGATTGCAGAGGAGTGATATAGCATATAGAAAAGCTTGGGTTGAGAGACATTTAGTATGTATAGGACATTAGTATATAAAGGATATCACCTTTTGACATCCTTTAAATTGTAAATCTAATCCATTCTGAGGTGAGGTGCAAGCCTGTATCTTCTACTTAAAATATTCCATGTCCCCACATCACCTTTCTAGTTTGAAAAATTTTCTATATATAGAGAAGTCGAGGGAATAGTCCAGTTAACATCCTACATTCAACAGGTACTAATATTTTGCTTTTCTCCTTTCCTTTTTCTTCTTCGCTCTCCCCCCCCCCTTCCCTTCCCTCTTTCTCCTTCCCTTCTCCCTCCTTTCCTCCCCTTTTCCCTCTCCCCTTTCTCACTGAGGGTGAAACCCAGGACCTCGTGCCTGGTAGCCAAGTGCTCTCTTATTGAGTTATAACTTCTGCTCTTTCTTTCTTTTTCACTGAACTTTTCATATACTATGCTACTTACCTGCAACTTTTAGTATGACTTTCTTATTTCTTTTTCTTTTCTGTTTTTGTTTGAAGCAAGGTCTCAGTGTGGAGCCCAAGCTGGCCTTGACCTCACTGTGTAGCCAAGGCTGGCCTCCCTAACTTGCTCCTCAGTCTCCTGAGCTCTGTGATGACAGGCAAGGGCCACTACACCTAGCAAACACCACAGCCCAAAAAACAAGGCTCAACCCTTCCTTTTTTCCTTTGGCAGCCAGTGATCTCACTGACAGCCGTCACGCCCTTCCCTGTCACTCTGCCGAGGGTAACCCAGGATGACAAGCTCCAGCATCTTCTTGCTACCTCTTTGGTTGCCTATGCAACTACCCTGTGGGCTGCTGCTCACACTGCAGCCCTGATAGGAATCCTAGCTTGGCGACAGCCGTAGTGTCCATCTTTGTCTCTGAACTGTTCAGGTGCTGTGTTGCTGCCTGTCCAAGGAGTGGCTAGAGGACCATGCCAGACGGGTACTCATCAGGGACTGACCAAGGCCTGCCATTGTCATCCCGAAGTCCCCAAACCCTTTTGGGCCGTGATCAGAGTCCCACCACTCCCAGAAACTCATTGAAAGCAATGGTAGTTATGACTTTAAACCTGCTGTTTCACAGGAGCTGTCAATCACCACCTGCTTCTGCAGTTCAGCCAGGCTATCTGTCAGAATTGACAGCTGAGGCTACTCTAGAGTTCCCAGTGCTGCTCTGGGAGATAATTGCCTTGGCTGTAGCAGGCTTCCTACACAGACCTAACCTGCATGACTTCACCCTGCAACCTCTCCAGATGACCCTGCCTCCTCTGCCACTACTTTGAAAGTCCCTAAATAGTTTTGGGAGAAGCAGGAGACTACACATGCCCCAGCCCATCCTTTTTCTATATAAGCAGCATTCTCACAGTTCTTGAGTTAATCTGAGAGGACCTTCTGTGTGCTATCCCCTGTGCCTACTCAGGATTTTAATCTGGTAAAGTGGGCTGAGCTGATTGCATTAAGAAAGAGCTGGTAGGGCTAGGGATTTAGCTCAGTGGCACCATGCTTGCCTCACAAGCACAAGGTTCAATTCCCTGTACCAAAAAAAAAAGAAAGAGCTGGTAACATTAAGGGGTATTAGCCCTGAGCATGCTTGGCATATAGAGGACTGCTGAAGAGGTCCAGTGAGCAGCAAAGCAGTGAAGAGCTAAGAGCATAGACCTGTGGAAACCTAAGGAAAAACCCCAAGAGGTGTCAAAAGCTGCTGGAGAAGCTCCAGAAAGCTGGCAAGGGGGTTGTGAGCTCTGGCTGCTGAGGAACTACAGTAATGGGTGGCTGAAAGTTGCCACGAGATGCTAACACTCAAAACTTAGAACTAACTGTAACACCAAATATAATGCCAAGAGCTAAGAGGTACTGACATTCAAAACTTGGAGCTGTAACACCCAGGGCTGAGAATCACTGACACTAAAGGACCAGAGCTGCTAACATCAAGGAAGCTGCACTTTGCCAATTGGTGATTTCTCTCCAAATTAAGCATAAGAACCCCAGCAGATTGCTGGTATTTTCTCTTCATGAACATCCTGCTCAGTATTTTGAGCCCAGGGTTATGGAAATCAAGTCCTGGGGGAAGGGAAAAATAATAAGTTGAACTCAGTTTCCTAAAAAGGTACGATGAGGTCCTCAGCTCTGGTACCTGTGAATGGGGCCTTATTTAGAAATTGAATCTTTGCAGATATAATCATATTAAGATGAATTCATACTGGTTTATGGTAAACCCTAAATCCAATGACTGATGTCTTTATGGGAAGAGAGGTGGAAACAGAGATGGAAAATATCATATGACAATGAAGGTAGTAGGGGTTGGATAATACAGCTGCAAGCCAAGGAGCGCCGTGGATTGCTGGCAGCCATCAGAAGCCAGAGAGAGACAAAGGATTCTCCCCCAGAGCCTTTAGGGGGGTCCTGGCCCTGCTCACACCTTCATTTCAGACATCTTGTCTTGCCAGGTTTGGTGGCTCATGCCTGTAATCCCAGCTCTTGGGAGGCAGAGGGAGGAGTATTGCTGAAAGTTTGAGGCCAGCCTCAGCTACATAATGAGTTCAGGACCAGCCTGAACTACAAAGTGAGACCCTGTCTCAAAAACAAAACAAACAAACAAACAAAACAGACATCTTGTCTCCAGACTGAGAATAAATTCTGTTGTACTAAGCTACCCAGTTCGTCTTAGTTTGTTACAGCATTGTTGGAAAGTAATACACCTCTTGACTATTCAGAGCTATACTTTCTATAGGAAAGAGAAATACATCCTTTAACTCTGATTCTCATTCTGGAATGAGACCACACTCTTATATTATGTTTTAAAAATTTATTTATTTATTTTTGTTTTTTTGTTTTTGGTATCAGGGATCGAACTCGGGTCTTTGCGCTTGCGCAGCAGGTGGCGAAACCACTGAGCTAAATCCCTGGCTTATGTTTTATAAATTAATCTGACTCTTTTCACTAAACTGTGACAAAGGTGGGAACATTCTCTTGTTGGCTTTAAATTAATAATATGAATTCGAGAACATTGTATGGCTGAATGAAGGGATCTTGAGAGGCTTGTAGTGTTTATAGTTGAGTCCCTTGGCTAAATCTTACAGCTTCCAAGTGCTTGAAGAAGGCAAGTCGAGGTTACTGGAACATTACAGTTTGCATGTTTTGGTAAT